CTGTAACAAGGACAGGTGTACTGATGGGATGAGAAGGGAGGACATTGACAGAGGGTCAGAAGTTTTTACCTGTAACGAGGACAGGTGTACTGATGGGATGAGAAGGGAGGACATTGATAGAGGGTGAGAAGTTTTTACCTGTAACGAGGACAGGTGTACTGATGGGATGAGAAGGGAGGACATTGACAGAGGGTCAGAAGTTTTTACCTGTAACGAGGACAGGTATACTGATGGGATGAGAAGGGAGGACATTGATAGAGGGTGAGAAGTTTTTACCTGTAACGAGGACAGGTGTATTGATGGGATGAGAAGGGAGGACATTGACAGAGGGTCAGAAGTTTTTACCTGTAACGAGGACAGGTGTACTGATGGGATGAGAAGGGAGGACATTGATAGAGGGTCAGAAGTTTTTACCTGTAACGAGGACAGGTGTACTGATGGGATGAGAAGGGAGGACATTGACAGAGGGTCAGAAGTTTTTACCTGTAACGAGGACAGGTGTACTGATGGGATGAGAAGGGAGGACATTGATAGAGGGTGAGAAGTTTTTACCTGTAACGAGGACAGGTGTACTGATGGGATGAGAAGGGAGGACATTGACAGAGGGTCAGAAGTTTTTACCTGTAACGAGGACAGGTATACTGATGGGATGAGAAGGGAGGACATTGATAGAGGGTGAGAAGTTTTTACCTGTAACGAGGACAGGTGTACTGATGGGATGAGAAGGGAGGACATTGACAGAGGGTCAGAAGTTTTTACCTGTAACGAGGACAGGTATACTGATGGGATGAGAAGGGAGGACATTGATAGAGGGTGAGAAGTTTTTACCTGTAACGAGGACAGGTGTACTGATGGGATGAGAAGGGAGGACATTGACAGAGGGTCAGAAGTTTTTACCTGTAACGAGGACAGGTATACTGATGGGATGAGAAGGGAGGACATTGATAGAGGGTGAGAAGTTTTTACCTGTAACGAGGACAGGTGTACTGATGGGATGAGAAGGGAGGACATTGACAGAGGGTCAGAAGTTTTTACCTGTAACAAGGACAGGTATACTGATGGGATGAGAAGGGAGGACATTGACAGAGGGTGAGAAGTTTTTACCTGTAAGGACAGGTATACTGATGGGATGAGAAGGTAGGACATTGACAGAGGGCGAGAAGTTTTTACCTTTAACGTGGACAGGTATACTGATGGGGTTAGAATTTATGTTCTTGACGGAGGAAAATGACATTAGCAGAGGACAGATAAACTGAAGAAGTGAGAATTAATGACATTAACAGGACAAAATGATATGGCGGGAAATTATATCATCAGAGGTCTCAAATTTATGTAATCTTTGATCTTGAATACAAGGAAATTGATTTTAATAAATTTGCCAGCCTTCTAACTAAGCTAGTTATTGTATATTGGTTCTCTTACAGCCATGAACATAGGTAGAAGTTTAATCCATCACAACCCAAATAACTGTGGACATGATAATCTCAATTTAAATTTTTTAAAAATATTTATAAAAAATGTGACTACAGTGAAATTTATATGTACCAGTAAGTTAAATTGCCCTATCATACAGCAGTGTTTATACATAAAGATGGATACAAATAACCTGAGGATTACGGAAATGGAGTAGAACATGATATTCCACACAAGGAGCCTAGTGGTCTTGACGGTCACCAGAGATAAGCAATATTGAATATAAAGGTTAAAGGATAATCATGAAACAAATGATGACACTGAATATATAAAGTCACTGTCAAGACATGCATACCATCTAAACTCTCATCCTATACTTATAATTCTTACAAAGTTATAATAACTAACGTTATGCTCAAAAATGCTATTTTTTCTATGAAAATTATAATAAAGTCTTAAAACAAATTCCGCCCCAGGAAGGAATGCGAGACTTATTTTGGTAATTAAAGCACCTTAAGATGCTTCCATTCATGAAGAGCATTTGAATTAAACAAATTGTCTACCATATCAGAGCCGAAATTCACTATTTTGGTAAAGAGGTAAGTCAGGATTTTGGCCCTGCCCATCAGCCCCTGGAGGTCAGCAAGGATCAACATGGGCATACCATCAAGCCATCATACTTCACTCATAATTCTAAGTTTGAAATATTTCCAATGGAAAGTAAACAAATTATGCCCAAAAATCTAGTTTTCCTACATAAAACGTAGCAAGCTTTACCCCCTCCCAACGGGGATATGTGAACTTGGGCCATGAAATTCACTATTTTAGTTAAGCACTTTAAAGATGCTTCCATTCATGAAGAGTATTTAAAGAAGATTTTTGAAATCTAAGTCCTTTAGACACCGTTTGGCCCCGCCCCACAGGCCCCTGTGGAATGGGGACGGTATAATTCACAATATTGTTTCATCTTAGGCTAGGGAAAGTTTCTACAAAATTTCAATGATATCAGATCAGGGTTTTTTGAGAAGATGTCTAAAATGTTAAATTGTTTACGAACACATGACTGGTGCTCCAGTGGTGTCAAGACCTTTTGCATTAATATATGTATGCTGTTGCAACCAACTTGAATATGACAATAATCTGAGTTCAGACTATTCACAACTTCATGATGAACACAGATTGTGTCATTTGCATTCTTAACCACAGTGTACATAGGGGTGTACAGATTAACAATACAACATATAAGAAATGAGAAAAGTCAATAGCCCTGTTCATTTAACTTTATTATAGGTTTCTGTACATATACAAAAATGTTTTAGGTCAATATGATAATGTAATTTTATGATACAACGATGGTGATTTCTAGGACAAAATTGATGCTGGTCATCCAAAAAATAACATCACTTTATAAAATATTTATGAATGTATCAAATGCACAATAATCCAGGTGTTCTCTTGAGTATAAAATATTTCAGTATTAGTACAAACAGTGCTTTTTCACAACATAAATTACTACAGCACTTCTCACTTGTTCTGTTTTAACAGCACAAGATCCACATCTAAGGCCACAAAACATACATGTTAATTGTTCGCTGGTGAAGAAATATATGTGCACAAAATTGTGTGTATGTAATATTAAATTTCCTTCATTTCATCATTTTCTTAATTCTTTTATTTGAATTGTATAGATGCTGAAGTTTTTCCTCTTCTCACCACAATAATCTGAATAAACACTTTCCTGATTAAAACAAGGATTATCATTTGAAAAGGCATGAAATTTCAAATATTTGTTTTCTATTTATAATTTCTAAATACATGTATGCTTTCAAAGTCTTGAATCCTCAAAGCCTTAAGTGCATTCAATATATGCATAAATAATATGTCTATGTTTATATATGATGGAAATGCATTTTTAAATTAAGTATGAGGAAAGATGAAGACGAAATGATGGGGAAAAAATTAACATTTTTGTGTAGGAGTAGCTACATAATATATGTGTCATACAAAAATGTGATTGGAAATAATGACTGTCTATGAAAAGAAAGTCCTTCAGTTTCTCTAATACAATGATAGTTATATCCTAATCCAGATAAAACTTATAAACAAACAATTCTTTACATAATACAACCTTATTTACATTACTTCCAGGTATATACAGCATGTATAAAAATAGTGTTAAAATGTATGGAGGAATATGTGCTATACATTTATACAGTGAAACAGAAGTACATCTAGGATGTGTACCATGCATAAAATTATGAAATATTTATTCAATGAATATGTTGCTTGTACATGCACTTACACAGCACTTTCATTACCTTTCTGTTTAATTACAGAAACACCACTTACACCAGCCTATATATGTTACTATTGTATCTTCTAGAACTGTTTACAACTTCAACTTTGTGTTGATGACAACTTTTTAGATTTCATGACTTAACTCCTCTATATTTGCAACTTTATATAATCATTTACTTTTTACAGGGATATGCTTATCAGACTTCAGTTATGCTTTATTATAATTTCTTTTTTTTTCAATCTAGGTTATACTTTTCATAGTTATTTTTTACCGTATCAAAGAATAATGACTGAAGTTATGCAGAAACTGCCTTTCATTCAATTTCGTAAACAGTTTCAAAAACAGGGCCTTCTTGTATAATTTTAAACATTTTAGTTAAAAAACAAAATACATGTTAAGTATGCTGTAACATCCCTGCAGAACATCTGATGTTTAATATTATCACTTAAACACAACAGCCAGAACCATACAAACTATGATAAAAATCCTCTCTGTTTTAATACATATAGCTCATGTACAGGTGGACAGATTGGCTTGTGGACGCAATGATTCCATGTTAATATATCAAACTGATGAAGTGTCCATACATACAACAGTACTTAGTTACAACAGAGAAACACCAATACTGTCTTCATACTCTCATTCCAGATATGGTCTATGTAGTTACAACAGACCAACACCAGTACTGTCTTCATACTCTCATTCCAGATATGGTCTATGTAGTTACAACAGACCAACACCAGTACTGTCTTCATACTCTCATTCCAGATATGGTCTATGTAGTTACAACAGACCAACACCAGTACTGTCTTCATACTCTCATTCCAGATATGGTCTATGTAGTTACAACAGACCAACACCAGTACTGTCTTCATACTCTCATTCCAGATATGGTCTATGTAGTTACAACAGACCAACACAGTCTTCATACTCTCATTCCAGATATGGTCTATGTAGTTACAACAGACCAACACCAGTACTGTCTTCATACTCTCATTCCAGATATGGTCTATGTAGTTACAACAGACCAACACCAGTAATGTCTTCATACTCTCATTCCAGATATGGTCTATGTAGTTACAACAGACCAACACCAGTACTGTCTTCATACTCTCATTCCAGATATGGTCTATGTAGTTACAACAGACCAACACCAGTACTGTCTTCATACTCTCATTCCAGATATGGTCTATGTAGTTACAACAGACCAACACCAGTACTGTCTTCATACTCTCATTCCAGATATGGTCTATGTAGTTACAACAGACCAACACCAGTATGTCTTCATACTCTCATTCCAGATATGGTCTATGTAGTTACAACAGACCAACACCAGTAATGTCTTCATACTCTCATTCCAGATATGGTCTATGTAGTTACAACAGACCAACACCAGTACTGTCTTCATACTCTCATTCCAGATATGGTCTATGTAGTTACAACAGACCAACACCAGTACTGTCTTCATACTCTCATTCCAGATATGGTCTATGTAACATGCAAATATCAGAAGAATTGCAACCAAAAAAGTTGCTCTCTACTCTATGTTATTAAGTCACCTTTACAAGCTAATGTTGCTTGAGGTGAAATCATTACCAATATGTGTTATGGAAATCAAATAATTTCAATGTGAAATTGGACAGTGTTAGCAATGAGTATTTTTAAAAATATTTGCTTAAATCATTCTTAAGATTTTGAAAAATGCCACTACCTATTTTTTTAGCACAGGCATAAAATCCACCAGCATAGGAGTAAAGCTAGAGAAAATGTACACCCCAGCGATGAAGATAAATTACAAATGGTTTTGGTTTGGTCCTTGTGGCTATGGATAGCCTTCTACACTATGGTATCTATCCTATCAGTGTTCTAAAGTCTGTACAGTAGGTATGTACACCTCATACCACATCACTAACACTACTGCTATGGTGGACCATGGCAAGAATATGATTTTATCACAAATCCAGTGATAGCGTAATATCACTGTCATCACAATCGGCCAGACATTGTATAAAATAACTGAGAGCACATGTACTAAAGGTGCTCTAATTCACTCATTAAGAAATTCACAACTAACTACCAAAACTACCAAAACCTGACAAAAATAAGATGAGTGATTCATAATACAGTGTAACTAGAATTTCAAAATATTGTTAAGATCACAGTTATTAAATGTATACTGACTATGTATAAATACAGATTCTACAAACTCAAAAATCCTACAATGTATTTCATCCACAAGTTATCATCGTTCATTTTAAAATCAATCTTTCATCCACAAGTGTTATGACAATCTGTATGTAAAATGGTCATTTGTGTCCAACATCAATTTATAAACTAATTTAGATTGGAATCTCATTCCAATACACATCATCACAACCGCCACTAAATAAAGGTTACACAATAAAAAAGAAACCATCGGTGATGTATTTAGATCATCAGTTGGATGAAACACACTCTAGAAATTTAACTTAAAAAAAGGTTAGCAAATACTGGCTCTTAATCATAAACCATAGAAATTTCATGAATACATAGACATGTACTGATGATCACATTTTTATTACAACCAATGACAAAAGTAAAAATATCGATTGTTCAGTGAAAGACTTCTAGTTTCTCAAGTAATTTGTTCATTACCAGGTCAAAGGGTTCTTGAAAACATCTGAAAGATTGAGATTTTTTCTGATGATTCGTTGAAACATTAGAAAAATATACTGGTAATTCTATTTTCAAAACAGCCTTTGCAGAGAACGAAATATATATATTTCAACAACTAGATATACACTGCACTGTCGGAAATTTCCATAATATCACTTTTGATAACATTCAAAATGAAGAAAGAATATGAGGTTTAGTACATCTTGGTGCTGTATTTAAACATCTCTAACAATTTAATCTTTATCAGCCTGTTGATTTCATATTATGTACTGATTTTTTATCCACTATCAACTAGTACAATTTTACCCGATTTATTCAACATTCCCTAGTTTCAAAATTATCAAACACTTCTTGCATAGATTTTATATTTATGACAATACAAATCATCTCTGATATTGTGTATTTCAAGACATGGAAAATGCCATATATCAAAATCAATATAGTTTTTTTATTCAACCATCACTTTACCAATTGACCTGGTAAAATGTATTGATTTATCATGTGTACTTAAACACAGAGTACTTACGCACCCTTTTTATTCATCAATATATTTTGGACAGCTTTGTAAATTTTGCAATTGCAAATATTATAAAGATATAAGAAAACCATATCACAAGTTTCTCCATAGTATTCAGTGTAAGTGTAAATTCCAATGAGGCGTAGTAAAGATTTCTAGTCTCTTTGGGTAGTAACCTGGACACATTTAATATCTCACCATCCAACATATCAGTTTATTTAATATTATTGATATGTTTGTATACTTCATTACAAATGCATAGAGAAACTGGCTTCTATCACAAATACTTGTAAATAAATGTAACAGCATCTATTCAATTTCTGTCCTCAGTTTTGATAAAGAATACAAAAGCAATGTTTTGTTATAAATATAACTTCTGTTATGAGGTTATTTATATTTGTGGATGTATACTAAATCAATTCTTTCAAATCATACCTTTTCCATTTAAAGTTGAAATTCTTGGAAGAAACTATTTGGATTATTAAGTATCCTGTCACCGTAGCATGCTTCAATCTAAATAAGTTATAAAAATAAAGAAATTGGCCTGACCATCAAATCTAGCCAACTCTATACTGCAATCACATGTTGTCTGAGCCTATGATCTGAATCATGAATGCAACATTCTGGTGCTTATAGACTTGTCATCCCAATCTACAACCATAACAAAATAAACTGGCTATACTAGTGTATAGAAATATGAAGGGTTTTTTACAGACTTGATATGTTTAGGAGTATATATAGAGAAGTCTATCACAAGCCACTAGATAATTCACTAAAAAATTATAGGTCTTCTTTTCTAGCATCATCAAACCAAGCTGCCAGTTATGACTAAACACAAAAAACAAGGGGCTTGTTTTCGTATCTAGAACTCTTTCTGAACGCGAATGACTTATTTCTGTCCTAAGAGCTGTTTCTGTACCTAAACAAGTACACAATAAAACAAGAGGTTTTTTTCATACCCAGAACTGTTTTTGTACGCAAACAACTTATTTCTGTTCTAAGAGCTGTTTCTGTACTTAAACAAGTAAACGTAAGAAGACAAGACACTTGTTTTTGTACCAAGGACTGTTTCTCAATCCAGCCATGTGGTTTTGGAAAATCCACATCCTGTTACATCCACAAGAAGTGTGCCCTAATGATATCAACAAAATCTGCCAAAATAACTTTTCCTTTGGTCCTGTCACTTTATGTATCTTCACAGGTAAGTGATTATACCTGACAACACACCTAAATACCTGACAACTCTTAAAGCATCATTACCCTATTAAAAACCTATTTCCCTACAAATTCAGGGAACACCAAACAAAAAAGGAAGTTCTGTTGAAATTATCTATAATGGTATGTTGTGGCAGGATTACATATTTCATACTATATGTCATTTCTTTTTAAAGTGAACACTGCATGAACAGTAAATAGCTGAGGTTTTTTGTTTTGTTACAGCTAGTATATCTAGTTTCCAAAGAGTACTCAATTAAAGGACAATTATATTAAAACTGTGTCCAGTCACAGAATTCTACAGTTGGTACCTTTTAAGTAGATCACATATTATTCATTTCAAGTTACAGAATTCCTGAATACAAACATCCTAAAAATGATTGTTCTAGTTAAACAGTATGTTAACAGATATCCCTCCTTTCAAAAGCATTGTGACATATTTTGTTTAAAAAAATCAGATTTACCTCCCTTGGAGCAGGTAATCAAGATCCTACAGATATTTTATAGAAAATTCTTCAATAACCAAAGATTGTGTCTAAACTCCAGCTTATTCCCTATGCAATTGAATTTTCCTATGAACAATTCTCTTTTACAGATCCAACAGTTCAAATCAATCATAAGAGGAAATTTCTCAAAATTCCTGTCAATCAAAGGACGTGCAAGACCCTTGTATAGAGCAGGCAGTTCAACTCAACAGCACCTGCTTTCTTTGAGAGTCAATTTAAGTATACCGAGACTGAGTTGAAAGCACCTATAGGGCCTTCTACTTCCTGGCATAGTCTGTACCACATTGTGTACAGCAGATAGAAAAGATATCATTCACTGCAGACAACTGAGGCATTGTTCACTGTAGAAAGCCGAGTCATCCTTCACTGCAGATAGCGGAGGCATTGTTCACTGCAGAAAGCCGAGCCATCCTTCACTGCAGACAACTGAGGCGTTGTTCACTGCAGAAAGCCGAGTCATCCTTCACTGCAGATAGCTGAGGCATTGTTCACTGCAGAAAGCCGAGCCATCCTTCACTGCAGATAGCTGAGACATCATTCAATGTAGGAAGCCAAGTTTCCTTTGCTGCAAATCAAAAACCTATCCAGTTACTCATTATTGAGTATGCAATGGAGTTTTCCTTGAGGGCTTTTGTGTGAGAGCCAGCTAGTAGGACTCTCATAAGATGGTGAAGGCTTTGACAGTGCCCAGATTCTCTGTGTAGCCCCTCAGTAATTTTGATACTGCTTTCCTCCTTGATAGTTATTGTAGAACATCTGCTCGTCCCGTAGATCCAAGTTTCTCCTACCTAGGTATGGTGAACTCTGACCTATTGGACCATTGGCCATAGGAACCCCTTGGCTTGTGTACCTACCGCCCATTGGATTACTGGGATCTACAATGTAAAACAAGAACAATCAATGATTGTATGTCATGATCACATCTTTTTAATGAATCAGTTAAGTCATTCTCATTTTGTATGGAAGCCTCCAAATTTGTAACAGGAAAAAATAATAAATGAGTAAATTTTGAAAAAATAATATGATTTCAGAATTAAATAAAATCTAAGGTCCTAAGCATAGGGAACTTGAGGGAAAATAAAAATCATCACAACATAACAAATATTGTACACATTAACGAAATAGGAGAAGTGCCAAGTACTTAGGTAAGTTTCGCAAAGATCCCTTCAGCAGTTCTTTAGAAAAAGACCTGACAACTGGATGATTAGACCTACCAAAACTAGGAGGGAGCTTGCCCGTCCTCTTCACAAATAAACGGACTACAGGTCCGCCATTTTGGATGATATCAATGGCTTCAGAATGGGTCATACTCTCTGTTCTACAGTTATTAATCTCCAATATTTGATCGCCAACCTGAAAAATCAATTACTAATTTTAAATATTTTTCAATTGTTACTTAACAGAAATATTAATGATTTCATCAAAATACAATAAAACTAAATACATGAAACATTTAAAACATGTCTTATATCTATCATACACGAAACATTTAAAACATGTATTATATCTATCATAAAACATTTAAAACATGTCTTATATCATGAAACATTTAAAACATGTATTATATCTATCATACACAAAACATTTAAAACATGTATTATATATCATACACAAAACATTTAAAACATGTATTATATCTATCATACACAAAACATTTAAAACATGTATTATATCTATCAAGTATATTGATTAATATAAATGTAAAAATATGCAGACCTTATTTACAGGAAATGTTCATGGACGCTTTCTTGGTCATTTTGACACAAGACATTATGTTCAGGAGAAAAACTTTTAGTGGATATATCTTTACTCTAATAGCCAAATAAATTTTTCTCTGAAGTTTTAAATACTTGTTTATCAACAAACACATCCTGACAATGAACAAGTTATACAGTATCAACCAGAAGTCAAAAATACTTAATATTGTTTGATCACAACAACTTACCCTTAATCTTCCGTCTACATCTGCGGAACCTCCTTCTGCTATCCTCAATACAAACAATGGCATACTGTTAAACTCCCGTCCACCTCGGATTGAAAACCCAAATCCACGTGACCCCCGTGGGAGTTCCACTGTGTAGAGTTCCTCATCATCAGGACTCTGCATGATATCATCATAGAAAACGCAAGTCAACATACAGCAAAAATAACTTCATGTAACAGATAAACATTATTCTTGTAAAATACCCTACTTTATATTGAGATAATGAACAGCCACAACAAGCTTAACTAGTAATGAATAAATAAAACAACCACTTCCGGAACGTCTTGTATAGTAAACGACATTGTTATCACAGTCTACACCTCTCTGAATTTTTTTATCAGATTGAACGTACATGTTGATTAGGGAAGCTTCGTTGTCTTGCAAGTTCTTTCAACCTCTCAGCTGGGGGAGGGTTTCTGCAAATATAAAGATATGTTTGTAGTAGAAAAAATAGCAGTGGGTTTATTGACCTGTGAACAGCCAGGGTCAATTTGGGGTGGGAGTCTTCTTGCTAGCTGGTGGCTACCTATATGAACAATATAGAGGAGGCATGTCGCATGCCATCTAAAGTAAACATCAGATTTCCTCATCTGTAAATATGTTTTTGAAGCATTCATTAAATAAAACAAATAATGGCAGAAATTCTTTCTACTTTGTTTGAATGTTTACAGTCTGGTTATTTCAATATTCTTTGATTTGTCTATTTATTTATTTAATTTACCTTCGTAATTCATTTTCACCAACAGCAGGAAAGGCCATCGCATTTACCATTGAACCCTGTGAACTCTGAAAAGCAACAAATTTTAAATGAGTTTCGGTTCGCTTTAGTATCAATCAGAAATCATTTTTTACCTACCTATCTAGTTTAGATCAGAGAATGTAGTCGAATTACTCGTGGTCAGAGAATGTAGTCGAAGGACTTGTGATCAGAGAATGTAGTCGAAGGACTCGTGATCAGAGAATGTAGTCGAAGGACTCGTGATCAGAGAATGTAGTCGAAGGACTCGTGATCAGAGAATGTAGTCGAAGGACTCGTGATCAGAGAACATAACACAGAAATTCACTAGATCAGATTGCCTGTTAAGAATTAACAAAAACTTACTCTCTGTGATGTTGATGCTGTGCTGGAGGTATCATCTAAAACAAGAATAAAACAATTAAAACACTGAGGTAAGATCAATATGTTGCTCCAGATCCAAAAATCACTTTCTGAATTTTCTTAAGATTTAAATCTGTTTCAAAAGAATGAAAAGTCCTGCCAAATTACTCAATACCTTACTGTAACACGAGCTTTCAATAATGTAATTAATTACTCAATACCTTACTGTAACACGAGCTTTCAATAATGTAATTAATTACTCAATACCTTACTGTAACACGAGCTTTCAATAATGTAATTAATTACTCAATACCTTACTGTAACACGAGCTTTCAATAATGTAATTAATTACTCAATACCTTACTGTAACACGAGCTTTCAATAATGTAATTAATTACTCAATACCTTACTGTAACACGAGCTTTCAATAATGTAATTAATTACTCAATACCTTACTGTAACACGAGCTTTCAATAATGTAATTAATTACTCAATACCTTACTGTAACACGAGCTTTCAATAATGTAATTAATTACTCAATACCTTACTGTAACACGAGCTTTCAATAATGTAATTAATTACTCAATACCTTACTGTAACACGAGCTTTCAATAATGTAATTAATTACTCAATACCTTACTGTAACACGAGCTTTCAATAATGTAATTAATTACAGAAAAAGTTGAAGGACATACTTAACGTTTTTATTGTTTTATGTGTTGAATGGCTTTCTATAAATTAATCCTGTGGAGTCATAAAGGGACTATGACCTCAACAGTATCCAAAAGTCTCATTAGTCAGGATTACAAGGTTATGTAAATATCATGAGTTGTAGGGAACACTTCCCCTATACATACTTCAAAATGACTCTTTAATGTGGTGATCTTTACCTTGTGGTGACCCCACAGTGAGAGTGACCTTTAGACCAGCTTCCTTTATAATATTGACAATGTCCTCGTGGTGCATGTGTGAGATATCTACGTTGTTGACAGCCAGGATACGATCTCCAACATGTAGCTGACCACACCTCTCTGCAGGACTGTTTTCTAATATACGACCTGCAAAGACATTTAAAGAATATGTATCTGGCTCCTATGTCCTATTTTTACTTGAATAAGAATATGATGATGATGGTTGGATGTACAGATGAAAAAGTAGTAGGTTGTAAGTTGCTTCAACAGAATTTATCAAAAGAAAAATAAATGTTGTCTACGCAGATTTTTTCCATGCATTCAATTTCACTTTATGCCATATCTTGGATAGAAAAACAATCAAATACTGCATGATGTCTCACTTTGCACTAAATTTAATGTTTATTACTAAACATCTATTGAGAGCTGATATAGACTACAGTATACTTTGAAGTTTAGTATGTTACACTACATATAATATATCACAGATATCTATATGGATTGTTTTTTCATATCTACATTCATTCAATACAATCAGGAGGAGACAACTCAATGACCTTTGTTAATGAGTTCCCATTAACTACACTTCCAGATTACTACAAACTTCCTGTACATTTTTGTGAAAGTACAGGTAAACCATGCATTTCCCCAAATTGTTTTCCTCTATTCCCCATCTAAAATCTGTTTTGATACAGAGCCAACAATATTTAATAGAGAATCAAAAACGAATTAAAGTCAATATACCCTAAGTCTTATGATCTAGAAATAATTGTTTCATAGGGGATAACACTTCTTAATTCATCTCACAAATCTTTAATTTTGTCAACAAAAATATCACACATATTTATAAAAACATATATTCACAATAAGGGTAATGGTGCATTTTAAATGTGGTCTAAAGTTTGACAAAAAGCACAATTTAAAGTCATGTTTTGAGGACAGGTGCTAGTCATGTTAGAGACAGGGATTAGCCTGGGATGGTTGGAATAAATCATCAGAGTACAAAATTTTGTTAGGGCTGGTGTACAAGCTTGTGTTAGGGATGGTGTTTTGTGTTAGGGATTGTGTTGGGCTGGGAAGGATGGTATCATTTAAGACAAATGTACATCTCACACAGCCAAAACAAAACATGGTGGATTGACACTGTCCTGAGAAGAGATATATATTATATAGGAGACTATGTTTAATCTAGATAGATAATCTACATTCTATTATGGAAGTGAATAAAGAGTCTCTAAGTTACCAAGTATTACTTATATCATATTTAACAATTTGTGGAGATTAAAGCCAGTAATGAAATGGTTTTCATGTGGCAGCTAAGGACCTTTTACTGGTGGTCAGCATGTGGCAGCTAAGGACAGCCTTTTACTAATGGTCATCGTGTAGCAGCTAAGGACTTTTTTACTTGTGGTCATTGTGTGGCAGCTAAGAACTTTTTACTTGTGGTCATTATGTGGCAGCTAAGGACTTTTTACTTGTGGTCATTGTGTGGCAGTTAAGGACTTTTTACTTGTGGTCGTTATGTGGCAGCTAAGGACTTTTTACTTGTGATCATTGTGTGGCACCTATGGGCTTTTTACTTGTGATCATTGTGTGGCAGTTAAGGACTTTTTACTTGTGGTCGTTATGTGGCAGCTAAGGGCTATTTACTTGTGATCATTGTGTGGCAGTTAAGGACTTTTTACTTGTGGTCGTTATGTGGCAGCTAAGGACTTTTTACTTGTGATCATTGTGTGGCAGCTAAGGACTTTTTACTTGTGATCATTGTGTGGCACCTATGGGCTTTTTACTTGTGGTCGTTATGTGGCAGCTAAGGACTTTTTAATTGTGATCATTGTGTGGCACCTATGGGCTTTTTACTTGTGGTCATTATGTGGCAGCTAAGGACTTTTTACTTATGATCATTGTGTGGCAGCTAAGGACTTTTTACTTGTGATCATTGTGTGGCAGTTAAGACCCTTTTCCTGGTGGTCATCAACTGTTTGATTATTGATCTTTTACAGTTAAAAGTTTGATTATTACAGAATATTTACTCAGTTTTTATATATACATTTATAAATAGGCTATATTGTTCAGATTTACTCTCCCTACAAGTTTGATACTGTCTTCCCTATTTACTCAGTAGATCCAGTAAGAAATCTATACTGATCAGTGTTACTAGTGCCGACTATATCGTATAACATGCACAATACATTGTATATATTGTCACATTAGTTGTATACAGGTCAAATCTTGGTGTGTTGTTCAAAGCAAGATAAGATAATAGGTTCAAAGTTCATTATAAATTTCAAATAATTAATAAGTAATATATAAAGATCTTCACAACACATCAGAATTCAGATATGACATTTTGATACATTAAATTGTACTTTGTTTACAATTTCTAAAAAGGTATCTAGTTTATTCTCATGGTGATATACATGATATCTTATCAACATGTGTAAATGAGAAAATCCATTAAACCGAGATATAATAACAAGTTCAGTGTAGCTTAATTCAAGTTTCTGAATTCTGACGAGTAGTTAAGATATTCATTAATGACTTAGAAGGAAGTCATTGCTGTATTATTATCTGTGAGGTGTTGTAAATCTTATTTAGAATACAAGAAGTGTGATTTAAAATTAACAATTAAAAATAAAAAACATCTTAAAACATCAACGTAATACATATAATTAATCAAAAAGAATGAAAAATAAATCTCAAAAATCTACTTTTGGTGCCTCAACCCAATTAGCTTATCATGCCTTGAACAACAATGGTAGGTAATCTCTATTTACTTTTTATTGTAAGCCTGGGGATATCAAACCTAAGATATGATCAATGTCTTGCATTATAAGCTTTATTTTTTTGGTAACATACAAACATTTTTATGACATTCCAAGATAGATAATTATCCATGCTATAAAAGCTACTGATGCTAATTTGGTCTTCCATCACAATATAATAATGATACACCAATATCTCATATACCACTAGTAAATATGTAATTAGGATGACTGCAACCTGGAAATCTTTCAGTGATCACAAATGGATGGTACACAACATACAAATTCTACAATAAGCATGACACATTCCATAAACTGACCAATCAGGAAAGGTGTAACAAATCATATCAAGTATGAGGGATGCAGACAGTAAAATGAGCAATTTCTCACCAATCCATGGGTATTGATTTTTTCTATCTAACCAGTCCTTAACTACCCCTGTGTCTGAAATAATTAACCAATGAAAAGTCAGATGCATTCATACATGTAAAATTAATATAAAGACACAAGTCACCCATAATAGACCCAATTAACCAAAACAAACCCCTACAACACGATAACATCTAAATTTGTCCCTTAACTATTAAAACAAATACTTAATACCCTCCTCCAGCTACTGAACATGTGCCAAATCTGAGAGACCCTTTACATTTATGAGAAAGATTATAAAAAGTTTGATGAAAGAATAAGGAGTACAATTACAACAGTCAAGACTAAAAATGGGGTTTTCTGTATATCTTGATAGCAGCATCAGCATTTTATCTTACTGGTAAGACATAAACATTCTCATTCTAGCACATTCGGATTTCTGGTTAACATGCACAAATAAATGAGATACAATGATAGCAACAAGTCTTTATCACCAATATATCTTAACAGTCTTCATTACCAATATATCTTAACAGTCTTCATTACCAATATATCTTAACAGTCTTCATTACCAATATATCTTAACAGTCTTCATTACCAATATATCTTAACAGTCTTCATTACCAATATATCTTAACAGTCTTCATTACCAATATATATTAACAGTCTTCATTACCAATATATCTTAACAGCCTTTATCACCAAAATATCTTAATAGTCTTTATCACCAATATATCTTAACAGTCTTTATCACCAATATATCTTAACAGCCTTTATCACCAAAATATCTTAACAGTCTTCATTACCAATATATCTTAACAGTCTTCATTACCAATATATATTAACAGTCTTCATTACCAATATATCTTAACAGCCTTTATCACCAAAATATCTTAACAGCCTTTATTACCAAAATATCTTGTCTTTATCACTAACATATCTTAAAAGTCTTTATCACCAAAATATCTTAATGGTCTTTACCACAAACATATTTTAGCAAGTCTTTATCACCAAAATATCTTGAAAGTATCACCAACATATCTTTTGTGGTCGTAACTTTGTATTCAATTTTGCATCAAGATGATAGCTTACTGTACATGTATGCCAATGTAAGTAACAGAACAAAGACTTGCTACCGAGCATTATCCATTCATATCTTGACAAAACAAATTATATTTAGTAGTCAAGGTCTGCAATATCACCTGACACAGCAGCACATGGACCTATGCAGAATAAGACTATTGATTCTTTATAATGACCTTGCAGCTGTATTACATGTATCAAAAATGTGAAAACAATCTACCAATTCTGATGTTCATCAACAGCTACAATCCTTATAAATTTACATCATTTTAAACTTTAATTAAGATATCTTAATAATCATCATAAGATAAATAGATTCCTATAGATTTGCATATGCTTGGTTTTTTTTGTTTTGTCTTTTTTTTGTGTTTTGGTTTTTTTTGCTGGACTTTTTTTTCCTCATATAAGTAATTTCTGTTTTTGGGTTTTTTTTTTTTGTTTTTTTTTTGTTACCGAAAGACAAGGTAGTTACAATAGAATTGTCACCAGAAGACAACTGGTCCTAAACTTAGTTTCAAACACAACAAAGAATTGAAAAAGTATAATTCATTGTACATTCTAAAATCATAGTCAGACACCAGCAGCCATATTGAATTTTGGGTCAAAATGACATGTGAACATGTAACTTACACACAAAGTATAATGATCCATAAAAATCAAAGCATTTCTTATCGTAATACTTCAGATGCTAAACTCAAAGTTAACCATTGAATTCTTGAGCCAGATAATAATCGATACTCTAGCTTACAGCATGTTGAAAGAGAGAAAAAAACACCCTTTAGATTTATTAATATTGACAAGGGTACAAAATATTACAAGAGGCTAATGGGCTTTAATGGTCACCCCAATCCTAATTTAATATCTGAATTTGTTAAACCTTAGTTCTATAAGTAGTACAACCCATTAAACTTCAAATAGTTGTTGTTGCAAGGTAAACACTTTGTATAATTCAAGAACAAAAATCAAATATTTAGGCCGGAAAAGTGGAATAAAACTACCACCATCTCTACTGTAATGAGTAAAACATACAAAATGATATAAAATATTTTAGGATTTAAAATAAATACAAAAAGTCTGTAGTGTCATAAATGAAAGCAAATAAATAATACCAATGATAAGGTGCATAATCCGTGCAATGAAATTCAAAATACATTACAACAAACAAGTACAGGATCCGTCACAGTTTGTCCTTCAAACAGTAAAAATCGCCTATTATTCAAACAAAACTCTAAATTATAAACTTATAAAAAAAAATCATAAATTGAGCATTTTTCTCTAAAAAGCTTAGGTAACTGTGAATCATTCCAGTTAAGAAACAATTTCTGATATAAAAAAAAAAGACTTCTCCGAAATGTGGCATTTAGTATTGGTACATTCAGCAAATTAAATTTGGTTTTTCATTTAATTTTTCCTTTAATAGAGTTTATTTTTTCTTCTTTTTTTTTTCTAAGAAACCAATGGAATTTGAATAATACGCTTTGCATTTACACACCATGAAATTTGACCCCTAATTGACTGACCAACCCCCAGCCCCTCTACTGTGACGAACCCTGGCACCTGTGACAACCAAAACTATACCAAGCCTGTGAGTGACACGTACCGATGAACTCACCTATGGTGGACCCCGATTTGGTTACAGACGAAATTATTACAAAACCAAACCCTTCTGTTGGTCGTCGAGTAACTGTCACCTCATATGGATAGCTGTCAGCCACATTGCCATGGTGATCTCCTATGATTCCATAAAGAGAGAAATGAAGACTCCAAATTGAGACAAGAAAATCATGGCATTATTTTTCATTAAACTTTCTAATTATTTCTTATGATTTTGTGTAACATCAGTTTGAGAGAGTACTATGACATGGTAATTACATTTCACACAGCCAGTACCTACCACCGTGGGGGGCCATTTGTCTCCGTATACTCAAAGAAACACGCCCGCCAATCCCAGCTCGACTCATCAGTTGTACTACCTGGTGGTGAGAACAGTTCACCACACAGAAATTATCCACATGAGTAATTTCGTCACCAGTGCGTAATCTCCCGTCCACATCAGCCGACCCACCTGGCACAATGTGTCCAACTGACACCTGAGGAACGATAGATTGGAAAGTTACACTAAACAGCAAGAACCTCATATACCAAAAGATTCTCTAACATAGATCAATCATAAAAACAAGCAATCAAAGCACAAAACCAGCAAGAACTACTTATGGCTTGCTTTATATAAACCTAGTTTCATTTCATTGGTAAACAAGATGAGCAGTTTTAATCTATTTGTAATTCCCTCAATACCGACTGCAGCAAAACAAGAGCAGAATTTTCCTATAATTCCCTGTTGCTCTCCCATTCTATTTCAAAAACCATTCCAATAACAAATACAAACCAGATGATTTTTTAGAAAATTGCAAAATCAAGAAGGAACAAAAATAAGAATAGATTTTTCCAAAAAAAACCTTAAGATTAAATTTAATCTAGCACCAGGTTATTTTCAAATAAGACACAAAGGCTTAACATAGCTACTATTAAACTGGTAGAAACAAATATACATCTTTCTATTAATTTATACAACATCCCCATTATGTTAAGGCAAAATTTCACATATCAACTTCCATATCCTTTCAGTTAAAGGTTTGCACCTACCTGAGACCCTTCCTCTGTTCCACCGATAATTCTGAACCCAAATCCAGTTTCCTGGCGCTGCAGTGTTACAGTGGAAACCATGTAGCCACTATCATCATTAGGAAACCGCGGCGGTATTCGTGGTGATTGATTGAGAGATGCTTGACTGTTGAATGAGGAACTAGACTGCAGAAATTTCCTTGGTACTCTCATTAGATTACTAGGAGATGGCTCAACCTCCTCAAAAGAGGTACTCTGCCGTGGTGGGCGTCCTGCACCCATTCCAGAAGAGAAATTGTTCATGCCATTTCCAAATGGTCGATTGTCAAATGTGTCATGTAATCCATCACCTCTTCGTTGCACTGGTGGAGAACCTGGATAATCCACAGAACTGTGATGGCCCCACTGTGGCCTCTGGTAACCAGAGTAACCACCCTGTCTAGATGTCCCATTTATCCCCATTGAATTGTGATTTCTTGAACCATGCATTAAGAAGTCAAGGTTACCCCCATAGGTCATGCCTGGAAGTGGGGTTTTACTCCTCATATCCTGAGCAGTAGGAGTCTTAGGTCTATTTGTATCACTTCTGTAGTCTGATCCCTGTCTACTATTGAACATTTCAGGGCCAGGTGTCCGACTACGTAGCATACCCGGCTTTATCTGATCCCCGCGATCAAACCGGCTATCTCCACGGTCCCTTTCTTGATGACTATAGTTATTATTGTGCATAGTGTGATTTTGTCTTGAACCGTCTTGACGACTGTGTGGTCGTTGATGGTCGTTTCTCATCTGATCATATCTTGGTCCAGGTGGAGGCCTGGAGTTAAAATCATAGCTCCCAGAATTACTATAAAACTCAGAGGAGGATCGAGATTGATTTAGTTCCACACCCTGAGAACCAAAGTCTCGAGAACCATCATCATTTGATTGAACACGATTTTGCATTTCTGATAATGGATGGCGACTATCAACATTCGATTTATTTCGATTATCAATATTAGGTCCCATAGTCCTTGTGGGCGTTTTAGGCCGATTCTCATTCATTGACGGAGTCTTTGGTCGCCCATCATAATGAGTTGGTGTTTTAGGACGTGTTGAGGAATCCACATCATCTCTGTTTTCTGTAACATACACACAAAGATAAGGTTCCCTTCTGATATCAATGCTGCGTAAATTCAAACAAATGGGAGGTATTTTATCCATTATGTTAGGACAGATTAGCATCTAGTGATAACGAACATCAGTACTGTCACATCCAACTCCATGCTGATCTATATAAATGTACTGGTCAATGAGCCTTCTCAAATGCTTTCTTGACAGCATACAGGTGACATACATATGACAAACACAAAGCTACAGACAACAGGTCTGTCGGTGTCAGGTAAAAGTTGTTCACTCATCAAAAGATTGTCAGGTTTCTATACATTGTACAGCACACTGTTATAACCATTGTGATTAGTTCTGCAGAAGCAAAATTGATTTTAATTTTTTGCAGTTGCTGCTAGGATTTGTAGTACAGATACTCTAATGAAGCCTTCAGACTGCAGGATCAAATCTACATTTATCTACAAGTTCAAAGGTCAAGTTACATAGTTCTACCTGCTTGTAGGTTAAAACCTACAGATACAAAATGTATACCTTGGCTTTTATAAATATCTTACCTTTCTCTGAATGGTTTTCATCTCCACCAATCATATTTCTGTTATTTTTACCTAAGAAATGAAAAAAAAATGTTGTTAATGTCCTCATTTACCTTATTTTTTATTTTTATTTTCATGTGTATACATAAAAAAACAATGTCTACCATCCTTGAAGCTGACCTACAGCACAGCCTTATCACCTTACAAGAACAAGCACCTGCTATTGTGTACTGAAACGTGCCATACAAAGGGCATTATTGATTTTCTCCAATGACAAAAAGTCATTTTATTGATTTAGCTGACTTAACCATCAAAAGATTGCTGTTTGTGTGTTCATTTGTCATCAAGCTTACTGACAGCCTAGTCAACAAACATTAACAATATGTTTTTAGCAAATCATATTTATGTATCTTTATCCATATAGTTTCAATCCTTTACAAATCCTTTTGCTAGATTCCATTCAAATAAAATTCTGGTTTTATTCCTAATTCAACCATAAATAGGAGCACATTCAGAAAATTGAATACCTTAAAAACCTGTGTAATGTGCACATCTACTTAATGTGTGCAGGTACTTTTTGGGGCTTAAAATGGTAATGTGTGCACCCCAAAGTTCTGTCAACATCGTTCTCCGGGAGCCAAAAAATTGATCTCAGAATGTTCAAAATAACACATCAGACCAACGATCAATGAAGTCCAAAACTTGAAAGTATTCTCTTCAAAATTTGTTTTCATCTCATTTACTGACTTTTAATAACCTTCTGTTTAATTACAGCCAAATGTTTGTGCATCTTCTTTGTTTCTTTGACACGTCTTGCTGTCATTCACTTACCAATTATCCCTTATTTATCTTATGTACACATGCACTTGTCTTTACACTTGCCCTAATCAACAGTGTTCAGTGTTGAAATCACAGGTATAAGTTATTATCTACCTATTCATGACCAAACCAGGTAAATACAATCTCCCCAAGTCAACTATTATTTCATGTCTCGCTGTCACATCGAGTGCACGCCAGTTGACATAAATTGAGGCCCTAAATCTGTATATGTAAGCAATCAGTATACAGAGCACAGAATGGAATAACATGGAATGTGTTCTTTCAAAAGAAGAACAGTGTTTTATTACACATGTTGTAAGATAATCACACAAAGACTATTCCCTCTTAATCAGACAATATAAGCTTCGTAAGCATCAATAAGATCAATATTAATAAATAATGAATTAAATCCATAGTCCGACGACAAGTCTCAATCAACAATTCGCATTGATATGTCAACGCTAACTTCCACTAATACGAAAACAGACATGTGCTTAGGGCTTCTACTTCATCGGGATATCCAAAAAAAAAAATAAATTGAAAGCTGTCAATTTCTTAACAATTGAACATAAAAGTGTTTCAAAGATAATCAAATTACAATCAACATATTTTTCAATGTCCCAAACAGGGCACTGTCTTTGCATTCTGTTAGTTTTCTGTTTTTATTAACATATACAGTAATTATTTTATTTGTTATTTTTGTTCATAAATAAATCGTCAAATCCTTTTTAGTCAGTTTTGAGTACCAGATAATCCTGACAAACAATGATGGCAGCCTCAGTAAATCTTCGATTTTCCATGAAAAAAAACCCTTGAAGATTTTAACATTTGTTTTCTCAAAAAAAACTGTGCACATTACATAGATTTTTACAGTACAAGTTCCAAATATTGAAAAAATTATCAGAGATGAACAATGATTAAAATACGAAAGTACATTTAGAAGAAGTTAGCTATCTGACATTTCACAATGAACGCAATACAGGTAACTGTCTTTTTACCAAGTACTGCTACTGAATGTGTTGTTGAGCATCCCAGAAAGTTCAACATATATTTGGAAATTGCTAAATAAAAGTTCACAAGGCCTGTATCACTCATGTATCAATGCTTCATCTTACACACAACAACAGATTCCCAGGTTAAAAGTTCCAAGGAAACAGGGTTGAAATTTTATCTATAGTATAAAGGTGTATGCTGTGATAGGTGACAGTGTGGAATTCTCAATTATTTGATGTTATGAGCTTTGGGTTGAGTTGATGGGAGTAAACCCAAATCTCCGATTTTTGTATCATTATCATTATTGGCAACATTAACAGAACATGTGTTTCTTCATGATTTCTATAATATTTCCTCATCAATTATCAACCAGTAATATATGTGTATCCTGCAGACGTAAACACTACGTTAACATCAACTATTGTTGGTTGAAAATGATGTGACAAATCTTTAGACAATTTTGATAAATCAGTTTGAAACTTTACCTGACATATTGCTAGGGTCCCCTCCATTGCCAAAGAAGTAGGCTCCTGGTTGAGAATTTGGGAGACTGGAACCATCGTCTGGTGATCGGGTCTGTAAAGAACAAGTACTTGAAAATATACTGCTGTAGGGACTACCGCGTACAAAGTTTTAACAGTTTTAATCCGACAACATCAGTTTATCTTAAGATCTGTTCAGAGATTTTCAAGATTTAAATATGTCATGGACTTGAAACAGGACTTGTGTAACACAATATCTTCTACCCCACCCCCACACCCCCCCCCCCCCCCCCCCACCACACCCTACCTGTATAATAGCTTGCTCAGACTTTTATATGTTTGACCAGCTGATTGACTCTTCAATATCATTTATCAAAACAACTTTATCAAGGACAAATCAATTTATTTATTTCACTGAAGATTTCAATGACATACTTACAGGTTTCATAGGTTTTTTACTTTTCATAGGTAATCCTGAAAAATAAATAAATATATAATTTACACTCTGATCTTAATCCTCATATAACCTTTTACCAATTCCTGCTTAAAATGATGACAAACTTCAATGTACAGATGACTTTCATAAGCAGTTCTCTACAATCATCAAAACCTTGGTCACCACCAATCAGGCAGTAGGTCTAACTTTAATCTCACTTTGGACATCAGTTTTATAAATGGGTCTTTTCTTTCGATCCATTTTCACTTTGCTCAGTCGCCTCCAGGGTTTCAACAATTTAAGCCCCTAATAATTAACCCAAAACAGCTGAATAACCAATTATTCTTTATCTGGCTCTAAATTTTTTTTTTAATTCTGATTTTATTTTGAAAGCTGCTATTTACTTATGTTTTTATGCAATCTATGTATACCATGTAAGTAATAATTCTATATTCAACAAAAATAACCTTGACTTTAAAAACCTTGACCTTTGAATTCCTACATCAATATAATCTTCATTACAACAAATATGTTTATACAACTAAACAGCAAAAAATCAACATCAGATCTGTTTATACATATAAGTAAAGCAGGGTCATGAAAGTTAATTAATGTCAAACAGAATTAATATAATTCAAGATAACAATACCAATTAGTTATAAAGTAATAATATAAATTAGATCATGAGTTCCTAAGGCCAAAACACATAAACTTGACAGTGGAAGGATAAAAGAATTTCCTGATCAATTTTCAATGGAAAACAATCAAAGCTTTTCTTTTAAAGACAAAAAAGTGCAACTTAACAAAAAGGGTTCAGATATAAATATATATATATATATCACTTTCTTCAAATATCAACCTTTGGAGCAATACATATTAGTAGCAAATTACTTCACATTTTCATTTTAACAAACATTCTTCATTAATGTAAATTGAAGCTTACCTCCCCTTTGCACAATGATTTTTGTTTCCTGTCCTTGTGGACATTCCTTGAGAACACCTACAATTTCACTGTGTGACATGTCCTTCACATTAACACCATTAATTTCCTGTAGAATATCACCTTCCTGTAACGTCTTACATCGAGGTTTGTCCAAAATTTGTTTCACTTTTTGTCCAAAATGACTATCAGCAATCGTAAAACCAAAACCCATTTCCCCCCGCACAATATTCATTGATAATATTACTGGTCGAGAATTAAATGAAGTCAGCACATCTGGCGTAATATCACTGTTAAGATTACCACTGTTACTGTGTGTGAGAGCATCTGATGAATTATTATTTGTAGACCGTGTAAGGTCAGGCAGCGATTTTAAACTTTTGGCTGAGGTATTTAAATAATCAAAATCATTAGCTGAGGAATACGAGGGCGGAGCACTGCTCGTGGGCGTGTCGCCTTGAGGTAATGTCACAGCAACAGTCACAATGATCTCTGTATTAGGATCTTCTGGATCAAATGGTAGAGAGTACCCTCGGCAGATTTCTAAATCCACTTTCTGGTGTGGAGGAATGGTTTGGAACTGATTTACTATGTCTTGATGAGTGTATCCCAAAACATTGTTGCCATCAACATAAACTAGAACGTCCCCTGTAACACAACAATCACATTCAATATCGTAAGTCAATAGAATATCAATTAGGATCCAAAAAGGGTTTAAACACTAAACAATGTTATGAAAGTACAAACCTGATTTAACATCTTTATTACTGGTCAGTCATTTCCTCTCTCAGTTTTATAGTTATTAATCTTTATTACTGGTCAGTCATTTCCTCTCTCAGTTTGATAGTTATTAATCTTTATTACTGGTCAGTCATTTCCTCTCTCAGTTTGATAGTTATTAATCTTTATTACTGGTCAGTCATTTCCTCTCTCAGTTTGATAGTTATTAATCTTTATTACTGGTCAGTCATTTTCTCTCTCAGTTTGATAGTTATTAATCTTTATTACTGGTCAGTCATTTCCTCTCTCAGTTTGATAGTTATTAATCTTTATTACTGGTCAGTCATTTCCTCTCTCAGTTTGATAGTTATTAATCTTTATTTCTGGTCAGTCATTTCATCTCTCAGTTAAGATAATTATTTACCTAGTACTCTCTCAGTCAGATTTATAAAAACTTAATCTTTATTTCTGGTCAGTTATTCATGATCATTTTGACTCGTATCTAATTAATATTTCAAAGTCAACCAAATAAAAAGTAGCAACTCAGTTAACAAGTTTCTATCAAAAACTGTATCATTCTGATATTCAATGGACGAATTTGCATTTTATCTATTTTTTTGTGGGTGTTTAATCTTTATGCAATCCTTATTTTATGATTGTAGCCAGAATGAGGAAATGATTTTTGTATTTTTATCTACACACCTGTTTTGAGCACACCATCTTGATGGGCGGGACCATTCTCTACCACTTTCTTTATCTGTAGAAACTCTTCATCGGCACGGTCTCCTCCTATAATTGTAAAGCCTAACCCACGTATACTTTTCACTAAAGTGGTCTTCTTCATTTCACCCTTCAGTTCCGCTGGAATCTTTGTGAACCTCCGTTCTACAATTTCCAAAATTATATTTTGATTACCGTCATTTCATTAGTAATTTCACAACAATTTAAAGAAGGGATTTAAATCATAGCTGACAACAATATTATGGTATAGGTATGTTTTATTGAATTCATGAAGATAGAGAACATTGATGAAGATAGGGTTGATATAAACATCAGTATTGAAACTATGTACATCTCTATATCAACATTTTGAAGTTCTTGTTTCATGCAAAGAAAACTTCTATTGAAACACAGTTTACAAAAGAGGGTAGAAATAAATGCAGAGAATAGCAGAAAAGTCCTTGCCAAAAAAAAGACTGATTCAGCTAGCAGGATTTAGCAAATATTTTTAATCTCAACTCTAAATATGACACGCCTGTCATATGCAATGAGCTCTTAGTTGTGGCAGCCAAGTGTGCCAGTATAACATGGCATGGAGATATCTTAAAGGACAAATTCCTTGTAATTGTAAGTAGTTTTTATTTGAATATGGGCATATTATCTGGAATACTTTATCCTTCAGTCTAAGTACACACTACTGGCATAGTATATTTAAAGTGATATTGTTTGTGCACCTAGTATCTGAGTATGTACTGTATACCCGGAGACTTTCCCCAACATTTAAATTTTGGCATTTTCACCTTATAAGGCGAAGACAAATTTAAAAAACAAAACAAAATTTCACGCTCAAACACAAAATAAAGAATGTTGATATTCAACTCTATATAAGTGCAAGTTAAGTTTTTTCTGAGAAAATTGCTAGAAAATTGTAACAAGCTGATCAACCATTATGAATGTTGCCTGGCATATCACATCCAAACAACCAAATATTCCAATGATTATGATGAAGCATCTTTCTGATAAAAAAAGAAACAATAATATGTTGTGTCCCAGCATGAATTTTACACTGGGTGAAAAAGACCTCTTATTTTTCAACAGAGGTTGAAAGTTTCCAAGTATATAGGATTGCATGTGTTATTCAGTCACATGTCCTATAGATCATGTTAAACGATGGAAAACCTTAGTCTTAAATATGGAACATTACACTACACAAAGTAGGACTACAAAATCCTAAATCTAATTGATCTCTGCAATATAGATGTGACACAAACCACAATTCATGTGGATAGAGATCCTATGGTAATAGGACACTAATTACATGAGTATTCAGTATAAATGTGAAACTGACTGTAATGTAGGTAAAATACAGATCCTATGGATAATGTAAAATTAGATATATTTAACCTGTAAGTATTCAGTATAAATGTGAAACAGACTATAATGTAGGTATCACAAAATACAGATCCTATGGATAATGTAAAATTAGATTTGTTTAACCTGTAAGTATTCAGTATAAATGTGAAACAGACTATAATGTAGGTATCACAAAATACAGAACCTATGGATAATAAGACTAGATACACAAACTAATACTAAGGAATGATTAAGGACTGATAGCAGGACACACCTCTCCTCCTGCGCCCAGCTCCAGGGTGATGGCTGCTGTAGTCTGTAGGAAACAAGGAGAACAATCATGCTGGGTACCAGCTAGGCATGCACAGCCAAGATTCATCAAAACATTCAATCTGATTGGTCATACTTCACCAATTAGTATGATTTGATTCATAACCTGTTTAATAATTTAAATATCTATATTTTAATCTGTCAGACAAAATCAATATCTATTGCACAGCACGGCAACTGCTAGCTCTATCCTGATGCAGTGAATATCCAAATATTTATATAGATTTGCTAAGTTTTTGTAAATATTTTCCAAATTTCATTTCTAGTAAATGCTTTTCTATTCGGTGAATATTAAGGTCAGTAAACAAAAACTTGTTACTAACAGTTAAATTGTGATCCTTGTTACTAACAGTTAAATTTTAATCTGCGTTACAAAGAGTTAAATTTTAATCCTTGAGAACAACCATTTAGATTTTGATCCTTGAGAACAACCATTTAGATTTTGATCCTTGAGAACAACCATTTAGATTTTGATCCTTGTAACGATGAGTTCAGTTTTATTCCTTGTAACTAACAGTTTGAATTTAACCAAGTGTTCATTTTGATGGTTTTGATTGAATTAAATTTTCTTCATTAGCATGCCAATGGTAGTACAGTAAAACTCACACATGTGTTGAACACCCTTGAATAGAATACATCGGATAAGTCTAATGCTTTATTCGCTCCAAATTTTTTTCATCAGTAAATTAAACATGGATGATTTAACACTGTTGAGTCGAATACTGTGTTTATGTCAAACATATTTTGTGGTCCATCCCTTTTAAATTCTACCAAAATTTCCTTTTTTTGTATGGAACATTCAGGCATCACCTTGTCTCAGGTAAATATTTTCTGGCTTCGGTCCGAATGACCGAGTGTGATGAGTTAGCTATATCTTTGTTTTGTTTTATTCTATTTTACGTTTACAATCTGATGTTGTTGTATGTGTAAAGTTATGCTTCAGTGACGTTGCCACAGCCTTCAACTTTTCATAACACACCTCAGCGCTATCAATGTTATATCATTGTAGAATGTTCATAAGTATGTACTTATTGGGTTTTATTTTAAAATGTCGTTGATGGGACTCGCTATTCATAGATATAAATGTGAGTACAATATTTGTATTACTTTAGGTATCAAATTCACTAAGTTATGTGTATGAGAACTGATGCATACCATGTGTACTGCAAGTCAATGACAATTGTTTCACATTACATTTTTTGTTTCATATTCATACTTTGTAACTGTTTATTTAAAGAAAAGATATCATTAGTGTATAAAATTACAAAATACTTTTATTTCTTTTCTACTTATTATTATGGTCATGCCATGCTGTATCAGGTAAACAACCAACGAAAAGAGGGTCAATCTTTGATGTAAAACGTCTCTGTGCACAGAAACATAGCTAAGTTGAACCATCCGATAAATCAAATATTTCATTTGGTCCCATCAATTTCAACTTATCCTTGTTTTACTATACATGAATACATGAATTGGGGGATTCCATGGTCATTATAATACAGTAATCTGTTACAAACGTTGTGATGAATCTGTGGCCGAGTTTGTCAATGTTAAAGTACAACAAATGATAAGGACAGTCAGGCTATTTTCTCAATAATGATACAAACGATGTTATCCTCAGAATTTTTATATAATTATATGTAAGGATACAATTTTATCACGGTATGTGAAAGAAACCGAACAAGAAATTTAAAAAAAAAATTAAAGAAAAGCATTTTTGGACAGAAAATATATCATTAACAATTCAAATTCAAAATATTCTATTAAAACAATTTTTGTAAAAGGTCTGATGTACTTCAATATTTTGGAAATTATGGAAAAATTAGTAAAAAAGAATTTTTCAGAATTTAATACATAGTAATTGGTTTTGAATAATTTTCAAAACATGGATAACTTTAGATCAAATAGACTGTGCTGTTCAAACACCTGTTGGCTTAATTGATACTGAAGCAGAGCAATCCAGATGTAATATGCAGCGCTCCAAGCCCAGAGGGCTAGAGTGTAACATGCTGTCGAGATTAATCAATCACAGTCGACACAGTAATGTTCAAATACATATTGTATTATTAGCTAAGTCTACGTAGTCTGATTATATGGATAAACGCATATTCTCAAGAATAACCAGCACATTCTCAAACTTACAATTCTTGAAAATTAGTTATAGACATTTTGATAGTAAAGTTATTAAGTGACTAACATGTTGTAACTTATTATTTATTAGTTCTTTTTATTTTTCAGAATTAAAGACATGATCAAGATCAAGATTGCATTAATGTCTGTTTAACTGTAGCTCAGTCAAAAACCAAAAGCAAAAAGCAGGACCTCAGCAAACAGAAGTTAACAAGTCTGAGAAAAGACATTTTCAATGTCAGTCTCCATGCAGTCTCTTCATAAAACTGATTGATCCCCATAAATCACGTACATAATATTGACTAGTCCCTGTAAATCCCTGACATAATATTGACTAGTCCCTGTAAATCCCTGACATAATATTGACTAGTCCCTGTAAATCCCTGACATAATATTGACTAGTCCCTGTAAATCCCTGACATAATATTGACTAGTCCCTGTAAATCCCTGACATAATATTGACTAGTCCCCATAAATCCCTGACATAATATTGACTAGTCCCCATAAATCCTTGACATAATATTGACTAATCCCCATAAATCCTTGACATGATATAGTCTAGTCCCTAAAATCTGTGACATAAAATATTGACCTCCCGTAAGTGCATTATATTATTACAAATTCACAGTATCTTATCAAACCATCCACAAAAAGTCTTGGTAAATATTTTCCAATCACTACAAAACACAAGAGACAAAGAATCACAAGTTGACATAATATTGACTTATCTCCCCTGCTACAATCCCTGACATAATATTGACAGACTGATCCTGACTTTTCTTTGTGCGAGGTAGTGTGCTGTTTAAATCATTTCCTGTGAAAGATATATCATATTGGTAAAAAGATTTCCTTTAAGCAATCTGTTTTTATTTGAATTCAAACAACCTTGTTCCTAGTACCGTAAAAACCCACGTAATGTCCGCATCTGTGTAATGTCCGCACCCCTTTTTTGACACAAATATTGAAAAAAACTACCTTCCATGTAATGTCCGCGGGTAAAAAATATTGACTAGATTTCCCATAAATCCATGTCGCATTGTGACATAATATTGACTAATCCCCATAAATCCTTGACATGATATAGTCTAGTCCCTAAAATCTGTGACATAAAAAACATGACTTCTCCCCGTAAGTGCATTATATTATTACAAATTCACAGTATCTTATCAAACCATCCACAAAAAGTCTTGGTAAATATTTTCCAATCACTACAAAACACAAGAGATTATTTATTTTATGTAATATTCTTGTACATGTTATTTATTGTTATTTTGTAAATAAAATGTAGAATGAAAATGTGTTATTTTGTATATGCTCATGGGTATGCTTTTTCAATGGGGAAAGGGGAATAACTCTAACTTTATTCATGTGACAGAGTCAAACAAAATGGCTTCCTATTACGAAGGAAGACACAATACGAACCTGTAACGAAAAATTGGAAGGAATTAACCATGGAAACTATAATAAATAATCATAAATAATCATGTTTGGTTGAGGAAACATGTGAAAAAACCATAGAACGATAATATCAGGTATGCTTGGCTTTTAAGAACACAATTCAAGGAGATATATATGAATTGTCGGAAGGAAAAAAGTCATTTTCTATATCTCTGTAATGTCCGCACCCCCTTTTTTTGATTTTTTGAAAAAAATTCAAACAACCTTGTTTTACGGTAAGTAATAATATCAGTGATCACCTTTGAAAACTTCCAGAAATCTGTCACACAAGTAATTTGGTCAGGTTCCGTATATTGAAACCAATCAAATGACAGTGACCCTTCAATACTTTCACAAGGAAGCAGGAAAGATTATAGGTGTATGAGTGACACAACCCTTGGATTTAATATAAAGAATAAAATGTCTTCCTGTATTTATATCATATAAGCCCGTATCTGATATTAAGTTCATCTCTAATTAGTCCAAGAATGATTGAGCCCTTAACCTTCAGGTTTAAATCAAAGTTGACATAACCAGCAGTAGAGGTTTTCCAGATCATTATCACCTACTGTGGTACCATGTTGGAAGTACCACGCAGTTAGGTTTTCTGGTTTCTCATCACTGTGGTACTATGTTGGAGGTACCATGCAGTTAGGTGTTCAAGTTTCTCATCACTGTGGTACCATGTTGGAGGTACCATGCAGTTAGGTTTTCTAGTTTCTCATCACTGTGGTACTATGTTGTAGGTACCATGCAGTTAGGTTTTCTAGTTTCTCATCACTATGGTGCCATGTTGTAGGTACACGATAAACATCTTCTCAACTTCACATTTTTTAAAGAACACAGCAAATCTGCCTTTTTCTTCTTTGGAAACATTACCAGTGATAAAGCCAAAGGTAGGATAGCAAAGTTTTTTTTTCATTGAAACATTTCAAGGCTAAAAATCTACCGGTATTAAAAAGCTACAAATCTAGGGATATAACAAGGCTTCAAATCTAGGGATATTTTAAGGCTACAAATCTAGGGATATAACAAGGCTTCAAATCTAGGGATATTTCAAGGCTACAAATCTAGGGATATTTCATGGCTACAAATCTAGGGATATTTTAAGGCTAAAAATCTAGGGATATTTCATGGCTACAAATCTAGGGATATAACAAGGCTTCAAATCTAGGGATCTTTTAAGGCTACAAATCTAGGGATATTTCAAGGCTACAAATCTAGGGATATTTTAAGGCTAAAAATCAAGAGGATATTACAAGGCTAAAAATCTAGGATTTTTTAAGACTAAAAATCAAGGGATATTACAAGGCTTCAAATCTTGTACACATGCTTAAAAGACTTTATAAATTTTGGAATGTAAACTCAAATTAGGTAGTACTGATAAACTGTTTCTCATTGTAGAGAAATTATATTAATGATGTGTGTAAGCTTATTACCTTGTTGCTGTTTCTTAGCTGCAGCCACTGGGTTTTCATACTGTGTACGTCTGTTGACATGGCTGCAAAGACCAGAAAATGAATTTACAATACCTATCAAATATTGCACATATTCTTCTGTCAATAGAAACAGTTTCAATACACACACAGATTAGCAGAGTTTCTAATAAAAGTAAACAAAGAAGTTAATGTGGTTTTTTAAAATGTCTTTATATTCATCTGTGGCAGCACTGTACAAAAGAAGAATAAAATTTAAAACACAAACATAATCAATCCATGGTTCATGTACATATCCACTATGAGGTGTGAAACTGATCTTTCCAAGAGGTCAATCATATAATCACATCAAAACCTTTGTTATAAGATGATTTTTAAATTCCTCAGGTTCAATGTTTGTTATGAGAGGCTGTGGAGATATATGTTCTACAACACAAGGTTCTGATCTACACACCTATATCTCCAACACACCTGGAACCCTAGATAGACTTCTACAACATTAATAATTGACACCTTTACCAATGAAATTCCACATGGTATAGATTAGATACAGTAAACTAGGAAACTGATGCAATCAGCACGACAGACATTCCAATCAGTCTTCTTTGTTCTTTTCTATAGTATTTTTATATATAGAACCTGTTGCTGATGGAGGAATTCTCCTTTCATATTTTCATTGGTTCATATCTTTCCTATATGAGGAAAACCATAGAAAAACTACAGTACAAAATGTTTTATCATCTGAAATAAGACCCCAATAAAACTCAAAAATATCTTTTGTATCTTTTTGATATGATCGTTAACATATTTCTTAATTTGGATCATTATAAAGAAACATGTAGGCATCATATTGACAACAACAGACTTAGGATTTGTACTTTCAATACTTATCGATAATGATTTCATTCTGCTTGTAACCTTTAAAAAGCAATCAAGAGAGCCAAACCAAAAATCTGTCTAAATCTGTGCAGTAACTACAATTTTGGGCAATCAAGGTATAGAGGGAAACAAGATCAGGAGGTACACAGAGCTACAATAACACACTGATGTGTTTATATCACCACTTACTGGCTATCTATATAGCAGCAGTTGTGTGGTATACCTGCTCCCAATACTACACACCAACTGTTGTTTTGGCTGCCATCTCTAGTGCCAACATAGATAGCTCTAACTACCTTGTGATATAGACTACAATACATCACTTCTCAGTTGGCAGACCATCACACTAGGTGCCACTTAAGTTTCCTTTGCAGCATACCTGTACTCATCAGCAGTATATGTCTGTAGGCTATACAGTCTACAGCTCTATCAAAGATCAAAATCAATCTTGTTGACATGACTTGTAGTTTTTGTTGCAGAATGTTGTGTGATTTATTATTGGCTCTGATTGAGACTCAGGGTCTCTGTTGGGATTTTTCATTATGCCAAGGAAGCAATCAGAGCCCTTACGGAACTAATTAAGCACTTAACCGCATATTTACACTCAGACATCACGATGTCCTGATGACAGATTGTCTTCTCTTACAAAATGAGGTTCTGATGACAGATTGTCTCTTCTACAAAATTATGTCCTCATGACAATTTGTCTCCTCAGACAAAATGATGCCCTGATGACAACTTGTTTTCTCAGACAAAATGATGCTCTGATAAGAGAACATCTCCTCAGACAAAATGATGCCCTGATGACAATTTGTCTCCTCAGACAAAATGATGCCCTGATGACAATTTGTCTTCTCAGACAAAATGGTCAAGGTGTTAAGCACTTTGAACTGTAATAGTTTAAGGGAGTAATTAACATCAAACTTTTATCACATTCAATTACACCACAAGGAAATTAAAACTTTGTATACTACAGTGTTATCTGTCAGATATCTAGTGTCATTATGGTTCTAGATATATCCATTCCTTTCACTCATTCCTGACTATTCCCTCATTCTTAAGTTCAAACTTTAGACATGCAACTCTTCACATCACTGTTGTTGTATCTTTCAGTCCCCCTCTGTTCCTATAATATAGTCCATCCTTATCCGTTGGCTTAATTCTGTCCATCCTTAATACCTGCTGTCACAGTTCTGCTTCCTTTCAGGAAACCCTAATTCAGTCCACCCTCTGAGTATTGCCCTAGTTCAGTCCATCATTACATGATCCCTAATTCAGTCCATCCTCACTTGTCACAATTCAGTACCCCCTCTCCTATTGTCCTTATTTAGTCCATCCTTACCTGTTGCTCTAATTAAGTCCAACCTCACTTGATGCCTAATTCAGTCCACCCTCACCTGTTGCCTTAATTCTCTCCACCATCTACTGTTCTTCTAATTCAGCTAACCCTCTTGGAGACCCTTTTCCTTGTTTCCATGCCTGTAGCCCTATTTTAGTCCAACCTCATCAATACCAAATTAAGTCCACCCACACCAGTTGTTCTAATTAAGTCCACCCTCGCCTGTCATCTTTATACAGTCCATCATCACCTGTTTCCCTCATCCAGAAAATTCCCCCATTACATTCCAGTCATTTGGTTTAAAGAAAACCACCTTGAGGCAAGGAAATCACATCAATATATGTTTTTTACTAACCCCCCCCCCCCTCCCCAACATCGAAAGCTGTAATTCTTTTAATTAATATCCAAAAGAGCCCATTAGTAGACTGACAAAGGCAGATTTATCTCTGTATCCTTTTATCAAATTAACCAACATCTGTTCTTAATTAGTTAAAATATAAAGTACCTGTGTACTGAAATAGCTAGCTAGGCCATGGATTAATTAGGTGATGGATTGTACTTCAACCTAACAGTGCAAAAGGACAACTGGCTAGAGTAACAATAAATAGTATAGTTACAGGATATGTTATAGATACAGGATATGTTATAGTTACAGGATATGTTATAGTTACAGGATATGTTATAGATACAGGATATGTTATAGATACAGGATATGTTATAGATACAGGATATGTTATAGATACAGGATATGTTATAGTTACAGGATATGTTATAGTTACAGGATATGTTATAGTTACAGATATGTTATAGTTAAAGGATATGTTATATACAGGATATGTTATAGTTACAGGATATGTTATAGTTACAGGATATGTTATAGTTACAGGATATGTCATAGTTACAGGAGATGTCATAGTAACAGATGTTATAGTTACAGGATATGTTATAGATACAGGATATGTTATAGTTACAGGATATGTTATAGTTACAGGAGATGTCATAGTAACAGATGTTATAGTTACAGGAGATGTTATAGTTACAGGATATGTTATAGTTACAGGAGATGTCATAGTTACAGGAGATGTCATAGTAACAGATGTTAAAGTTACAGGAGATGTTATAGTTACAGGAGATGTTATAGTAACAGATGTTATAGTTACAGGAGATGTTATAGTTACAGGATATGTTATAGTTACAGGAGATGTTATAGTAACAGGAGTCAGGAGATATTATAGATACAGGAGTCAGAAGATGTTATAGTTACAGGAGTCAGGAGATGTTATAGTTACAGGAGTCAGGAGATGTTATAGTTACAGGAGATGTTATAGTAACAGGAGTCAGGAGATATTATAGATACAGGAGTCAGAAGATGTTATAGTTACAGGAGTCAGGAGATATTATAGATACAGGAGTCAGAAGATGTTATAGTTACAGGAGTCAGGAGATGTTATAGTTACAGGAGATGTTATAGTAACAGGAGTCAGGAGATGTTATAGTAACAGCAGATATCATAGAAATGTAACAGTTACCAGAGATGCTATAGGAAATGTTACACATGTATCAGAAGTAGAGCCAACACCGCTGCTTCTATATAGGTAGTGAATCAATGGGTCCTACAACTTTCACCTGGATACCCGAGGGTATACAGTGGATTGATTAGAAAGGGTGAGCTTAAATCAGGAAGGATCAATCTCAACAGGCTAAACATACTATCTCATACAAGATTGAAGAACCTGCCTCTAGCCTCTTGAGATTAATCCTTCCTGATTTAAGGAAATGTTATAGTTAAGGAAATATTAAAGTTACAGGAGATATCATAGTTACAGATATTACAGTTACGGGAGACATTATAGTTATCAGAAACGTTATGATTAATCTAGGAAATCCAATATTTAAGTATATCTCATCACACTTCTTTTTCTTATAATGTAAATCAGGGCCTCTGGAAATATAGTTCTGGATCCCAGTTGTTGACTAGCTAATTAGCTTACCACCAAATTCAGACAACTATTCTCTGTTCTCAATCATTGTATATGGGTATCATTGTTTGATAAATTTGCAGAAGTTGTTAGATGTGACCTTTGAACCTTTAACCTTGCCTGACGACCACATATGATATGATAAGGGATAGACCTTGATGTTTTGGTATTATGGGGGCAAATAGGAATCAAATCTGTTGAGAAGTTCACAAGATATGTGACAATGATGTGGAACAGACAGGATGGACGTCATATGCACTGCCTCCTCTCTGGATCATGTGGCAAGGACATAAAAAGAATTCTGTGCATTCTCAAAATCATTAAAATTTTGAATTATAATGAGAAAGATAAAAGATTACTTTTAAAACTTTCATTTCGAATATTATACACTGAAGGTTTGCAATACCTGAGCTATGGAAATACAAGAGATGCTTACACAATGTTGATACAAGAATTGTGATGATATTGCTACAGAGATTACAAAAGTTATCTATCACAAAGAACATCAGTGGTAGAAACGGTGATATTAGCCTAATACCTTCCTCCACTATTATACATGTGTGTTGAAACAAACAACATCAGCAGATTATATCAGGGACCAAGTTTTGGAGTTTTTATGCTGCTGACAAGTCACAGATGATAAAAAGATTTACTATTTTCACCATACGTAGATCATAAACTATTCAGGAGCCCATGTCACAGTCTGTACAGCACTTAATATAATATCTGATCACCAGTCTTGTATAATGATAAGTATCACTGATATAGTACAGAACACTTGGACCATTTAGTTATCCACACACAAAGCAAGTAAACTCTACAACGGAGATAGACTTGCAAATACTTTTTATGTACTGATATAACACAACTCATTATATGAAGAAGAAATTAATTACCGGTAGCTAGTTAGATGTCTACTTTGTTGATGTTATTTCATTTCTACAAATATTACATGTATATATAGATAAAAGACACTGCTAAAGTTCTACAGAGAAAAAAAAATTGTTTACTTACTCAATAAAATATGTTCCAAAATGTGGATCCTCAACTTTCTCCCATCCAAATGGCAATTCTGTAAAATACAAGATGGCGATTGGTTAGAGCTATATCTGAATCATGTAATCATGCCTTCTTTCTCGTACATGAACCATTCACACTTATTTACAAAACTGTAGGAAGCCTGTTTGTTTATATGCGCTACTGCTGACGAAGATGAGGCCAGCAGTACAGCCAGAATATATTGAGCATCTGCCCTCCCTCAGTCTCACCAGTAGGGGCATATAGTGTTAGTATGTGTATATATATGCATCAGTGTGCAGTTATCCTCAAATCAACCTACCCCGTGGCAGGTTAAGAATTCAATCAATCAATAGTTTATTCAATGTTTCTCTCATTAATGGCAGATGATTATAAAAAAAAAATTTATCAGACCATCATTTCCATTTTTAACAGAAATGAAATTGTTACGCATTTGAAGAAACATGCAACTCTGTCAATAAACAAAACATATCTTCATCTATATCATTACATGAAGGTCAAATGAAGACCTTAAAAACAGCCATGTAAAAATTCAATACCCATTCTGTAAAAGTTCCTAATAAATGTAATACCAGCTGTATAAATAACTACCATTTGTAACAAGAAAAGATCAGCTGTATTTATGTTATCTCCATTGCTTTTGGACAAAATAAGGGTTTTGTGTACATGTATCTAGCTAAAACTACACATCTCCCAGATGGTATCACCAAATCGTCTGTTGTTTTCTGCTGCCAGTTGGTCCAGAACCTGATTATGAGGTGTGGAGTTGAGAATGTGAGACCATTAGCGTTGGGAGTCAGACAAGAAGGGGGAGGACTGCAGGAAAATATATCTGGACTCGTAACTAAGGGGGGATCAACGAGACATTTCCAGCTAACGACACACTTCATTTCTGATATAATCATCTTTAAGACAAAAGAAAGGAGTAACACATTTTGGAATGCTTGTGTTTGTGAGCGAGTGACCTGATCTGTTCTGAAAGTTCCTCTGGGGGTCAAACTAAAGGAGCTAAACATCATATAACATATAAACAGCTGGGAACCCCTGAACGTACATCTGTTGACTTAACAAAGACATATCTTGGAGAGTCTCTACACATACAGTTGAACCCTGTTATATGTTTCAAATCAACACATTTTCAGCAATGACCAATTAAAAGTGGTGACAAAATTAAACATATTCACAAGCATACACAAAACATAAAAATGTTCTCGCTCACTTTTAGGACATTCACATTTTAAGGAAAATAAACTGAATTTATCATACGTGACAAAAGGAGGGGCAGGAGGGGAATGCTACATACTCATAAATGTAGAATTTCATCACAAGGTTTTGTTTTTGCATTTGTGATTCAGAACCCTTTGCGGCCAAAAGCACTCAAGCACACATAAACAATTGTGGAACATCAAAATTACATTGTTCCTAGTCATCAATGCCTTCTTGTGATTTTTTTAACATCATGAGCAATTTTCATTTCAATAAAATATCTCCGAAACTTGGAAAATATTCACTTTTTCATCTCTTCACCTCGCTATTACCTAACACTTCATTCATTCTATCACGATAGTTTATTCCCAATCTTAAATTTCAAATTTGGAATCCAATTTTAGACTGAGACTCCTTGTAGTAGCTGTTGGCTACCTCCATGAACAACATACAAGAGGCCCATCACAAGCCATCCAACACTATTGGGTTAAAAGTGTCTTGCCCAAGGACACAACCACAATATCACAGAACAGTTTGCTTTTCAACTTTTTAAGAAACACAAATCACTAAGGGTAAGGAAGCTTTGAACCACACACTTTGGATCTTCACAAGAGGTTGAATCGTTTCTCAGAATATTAATTCAAATGATTCAAAGTTTGATCACAGAAGTTTTCAAATTAAAGAATATGAAAAAGCAATAACCTATCATTGCTTAAGGCCAGTCTTCACCTTTCAATCAATCAAAGTGGTATTTCAAATTTACCAATATATAAATACAAAGAAGGCTTAAAAATAGAAATTCTGTTTAATTTTGAATAAAATAGTTTTTCAATATATCTGAGTGTCACTATGTAATTCTTGCACCATATCTACATTCTTATGATGCAAATTAACAGCCTTCCAAATCAATTACAACTATCTCGGATCATCATTACATCATAAATGTTAATTTCTTCAGTATTTTTTTCTGATTTTTAACATCCCATGATGTCTGCAAAACAATGACGTAAAATTTAAACACCACAGTACAAGGTAAGGACAGGAACTTTGTACCTTTTTCACAATGAATATTTACCCTAACAAAATAGAAAGAACACTATTTTAACTTAGACTAAAGGCTGTCTCTTAATATACACGAGCAACTTGGTAACATAAGACCTCTGTGTACTCTGCCAAAACACTAATTCAACAGCGTCTGTACCACGACAACATAATTTGGAGAGGGATCTAGTGTAATTATATAGATCAGTCACATTTCATAAACTCCACTACATGTACCACCCATTATACCTTAATTAATATCAAAAGAAAATTAGATAGAATTCATTCAAGCAAGTAATGACCCCTTGATAACTACAAAAATTTAATCCAAATAACTTCTAAACATTTAATTCACAGATTAAAGCAACGTAGACTTCCAAACAATATGAGGATCTAGGAAATGGTAAGATTTACTAATATCTTCTGAATGGAATACCATGGTAACTTTACTAAACCTTCTAATGAATGGAATACCATGGCAACTTTACTAAAATCTTCTGAATGGAATACCATGGTAACTTTACTAAACCTTCTAATGAATGGAATACCATGGTAACTTTACTAAACCTTCTAATGAATGGAATACCATGGTAACTTTACTAAACCTTCTGAATGGAATACCATGGTAACTTTACTAAACCTGCTGAATGGAATACCATGGTAACTTTACTAAACCTGCTGAATGGAATACCATGGTAACTTTACTAAACCTTCTAATGAATGGAATACTGTGGTGAAAAATTGACTAAAACCTTCTAATGAAGGAAATATGAGTGGCATTAAATTTAATAAAACCTTCTAATGAATGGAATACCATGGTAAAATATATTAACATCTTCTTAATGGAATATAGAATATATGTAGTGGAAGTGGAATACCATGGTAAAATTTACTAAAACCTTTTTAGTCTTCATAGAATTTTTCATAATTATGAAAAAATATGATTGTATAAAGGTGTAATGGCCTTCACAAATGGATTAATTTGCTCTCTATGTTTGATTTATATAGAAATCGAAGGTCCATTATCAGCATAAAAATTTCAACAAAGTTCAACAAAGAGCACTAGACAACTTCTGAAATACTGAGAACAAACAACAAGTGTGTAGCTACGTCAAAACTTCAATAGAGCCTGAAAATATAACTATATGAGAGAACAGCAAAGAAAGTATCAGAGACCTATCAGATTAAGATTGTGTGCGTCATACACATACTGCACATCTTATACAATTTTTAACCATCCAACAGGAATGGGATCAAACACATCTAAACTTCTATCAAAATGCACCATCACAAACAGGCTAGCTGAGACTCCAGTAACGATGGGTAAGTCTGGTTAACTTATAATGAAATGAAAACTCTAGAGACTTACAACAGATAAACAAGTCAGGTTAACTTATAATGAAATGAAAACTCTAGAGACTTACAACTGATAAACAAGTCAGGTTAACTTATAATGAAATGAAAACTCTAGAGACTTACAACTGATAAACAAGTCAGGTTAACTTATAATGAAATGAAAACTCTAGAGACTTACAACAGATAAACAAGTCAGGTTAACTTATAATGAAATGAACACTCCAGAGACTTACAACTGATAAACAAGTCTGGTAAACTTATAATGAAATGAAAACTTACAATGGGTACACAAGTCTGGTTAACTTATAATGAAATGAAAACTCCAGAGACTTACAACAGGTAACCACACCTATTTAACTTACAAATGGACTGAAAACTTCAGTGGTTTAATTAAGTGATGGGCAAAGGGTTACCAAACCTAAGTGATTGGCAAAGGTGCAACATGATTCCAGTTTCCTTACAAATGGAGACATTTAGTGATCAAAATTTAAAGAAAGTAAAGTTAACAGTAAACAACAAATGATGAAAAAAATAAAATTGGAACAAACAAAAATTTTGTATTTTTAGGCAGTCAGTTTTAAAGAAGCCTAGCCTTAAGTATATCTAATGACAGTTTCTATGTATAACACATAGCATGAGGTCAGAGGAAAGTTATACACCAGGAGGCTACAAGATGAGTAAGTGTAAAACAGGTGCAAGATTTCTATTAATTAAGTAACCAGATGTTACGTGAACTTGGAGCAATAGAGCACATATATAGAGTATACATGCTTCTGAATCAAAACACTTGGTTGCACTCTCTACATATCAGGGAATATCCCAAAAGATTCTACTTTTTGAGTGGAATTCTTTTCACATCAAGTCAACTTTTTAAACCTAAAGAATGGTCAGTTGTACATGTTTTGTTATAAAAGTTCAGTTCTCTATGGTTTTCATGCTTACAGGAGTAGGAAAAAACATTCAGAATTTTAAAAAAAAGTGACATAGTTAAGTGCAAAAAGTATGTGAATGCTTATGAAAAGCAGTGATATCATTGATGTGGTAATCTATGCAATATGGTCAAGTGCAGAAGCTGGGTAAACTTTGAGTCCAACAACTCCGGGTAACATTTAACAGAAAGGGTTGTAAGTACACTCTGAGCCGAGTCACTGACTGTAAGCCAGAAAGCTATGTAGCTTTGAGTGAATACTGGGCATACTTTCAGTCAAAGAAAGTTGGTAACTTTAAGTCAAAAAAGCTGAGTGACCATCAACTGATGCTGAAATATTTAATGGACTCTTGTACAGGCAAATGAATGATATTTACATTGTAACTTGTAGAGAGATTATTTGCCAAAATAAAGCAACAAATATTACTGAAGAAAACATAAAAAATTTACAGAAGAGTGTTCTGAAACAGAAAACTAGAAAATGTCTGTAAGACATACATGCC